AATGGGATTTATTGAAATTTATGAAGGAATTTCAAGTCTGATCCGATGAAGGAGTATGATTGGTGAATAATGCTACTTCTCGAGTCGTTCATTAGTTTCTTTTTCACAATAATTCTTCCTTTATTTCGTTTTCTTTCCAGCAGAACACAAATTTCTGTAACGCGCGGTTGGAATCTGTTTTCTTTTTTTCGTTTCTTCTTTTCGTTACAACATCCGGACGGTATCCGGGACCTCACCGCACTTTTTCCAGGTAAACGACGCTATTCTACCGGTGTGCGTGTAATTAAAGCCCCGGCGCAGTCCTCCAGTCCTCGTACTACACTACGGATCGTAAAGTTTATCGCGCGCAATTTACGTATAATGCGCGTAGAAAATTCTAATGAGCAAGAAGCGCCCACAGTCGGGAGGGGAGAGGCCCCCGGTTTCTTTCAATTAATTCTGGAGTGCGCCCTTTTGACGCCTGTGACTAAATAAATAATCGAGCGTTAAACACGCTCTGTCCCCGGACAAGAACGTAATGGACGGATCCAAGACGTTTTCAGATGAAAGGAACACACAAAAAAAAAAGACGGAACAGACCACGATATTCAAACCGGGGAATTAATTAAAACAAGATACGCTTTATGCTCTCCATTCATTCCACTCGCGTACTCGCACGCTTTTCGGACGTTTCCCATTCGAAAGAAACGTGATTCCTTTCAATGACGCACACGCACACTTTTCAATTGTCCAACAGGTGAGATCAACTCTACCTGAGACACGCACCCCGGGGTCAGTTAGACCCGCATTCGATTTCCATAATCTGACAAAGGATACGTCAAGGAAACGCGCGCAACGAGAGACTTTCGCATCCTTAAGATCTACAATCTAGACGATACACCGGAACGACCACCCATCGGGGAGGAAAAGGGCGCGCACACAAGATAAAAAGAAAGAGAAAAGAATACAAAGAAACGTGGACCGAACGCACCGGGTACAAATCCTCTTTTAATTTCCAACGTCCCTTCGGACCGGGAAAACGCAAGCAAGGTCGACGGTATAATCCCATTTGTCTTCTAAGATTCGGTCCAGCCGTTGTCAGGTACAAATGTAAAGGCCGACGAACAGGTACGCGATCGCACAGGTTCTATCTACCTGTTCCTCATCGGCAGAGCACACACCTCCGAAGGAGACCCTTTTTCCAGTTTTCACTTTTTTTTTCCCCCACCCGGTTCGACTCTGTTTTCAACCGGGCAGTTACGTTTCACTTTTTTTTTTTCTTTCACCCCGGTGAAAGTTTCTCAGCGAATCGCACCGCGCGGACACTCCGCAACGGCAATTACGAGGCGAGACACGTATTCTCGAGGGTTCGAGAGGACGATCGAGGAACGGCGAGAAGATATTTTTCACACACCGCACCCACCGCCGGCTCCGGCTCCGCGGGAACGCGGGCTCGGGCAATTTTTATCCGCGGACAGTTTATGCCTCCATCCCCCGTTTCGCCTGTCGCTGGAAAACACATAAATACAAGGGAATTATGGGGCTAAATTACCGCGGAGGTACAATTTAAAAATAACGCACGGCTACATGAACTGGCCAATCGATGGAAACCCATATTTCCCTCCCCCCTCATTTTTCCAGTTCCACCAGCCCCCTCTCTCGTATCCCCATATCGCCCGCGACTCTCGTACATCATGGCCGAAATCGAAACTGACAACAAAACCCTACCGCTAGGCGTATGGCGTGTAATAAATCACGGTAAAAAGAGCACACGATATCCTTTCTCCCCTGCGAGAACCCCCCGACGAAATCCTAGCTTCTCCTTTACCGTCTGCCTTCTCGAGCTGATCTTACAAAGCGCCTCTCTTTCTCTTCCCCCTCGTCGAAGAAAAGACTGCAGGGTGTCCCTCTCCTTCCGCTAGATCGTTCTCCAAATATTCGGGCTCGCGAAAATAACGCTGCTCCCCGCTTATACATATATGTGTGTGTGTGTACATAAAGTTTTTACGAAGGATCCTCTTTCCCTCTTCCTCCAACTGAGCAAAGATGGAATTCAGAAACATTTCTCTCTTCCAAGGATCGTTCGCCCAGAGTCACGGAACGAGGCGTCGTTCCTTCGGCCGAGTATTTTTCTGGAAATCGAAGTTCACCACCCCCTCCCACGAGGAACCTGACGCGACCAAAACAACTTCAACGGCGCCACGGGCGTGACGACCGACGCTTCCCTCTCCGTAGGGGCTGCAACAATGGCCCCAGGTTGTGCTCTGCTCCCATTCACACGCATTGTTCGACTAATATATTTTTTGCGTAATCCCGGTAAGACGGACCGGACCGAGGGCTATTTTCACGCGGGGGCGAGGGTTCAGGATACACAAGCTGGCCCCGGTATCGGCGGCCGCGCGGCTTATCAACGGATCAGCAGCTAATGGAAACGTCCGTGGCGTGAATGTGCCAGTTCGAACGGATAAAAAGGGTCCTCCCCCTCTACGATCTCGCTTCCACAATGTATAATACCCGCCCTCTCCGGATTTCTCGCCCCCTCGTGCGAGAAGGCTGACCCGACCACCGCGTCGGAGAGAAACAGCTGAAACTGAAGCTTGTCACGAAAAGTTAACGCCGGACGGTTACAGTTCTCCCGTGAACCTCGGTCACCCGATACGACCGGAAGGGACCACTGAGGTAGGTGTGTGGACCGGGCATTGTTGCAGAATTCTGGGGGAGACCGGTTGTGGATCAATTGACTTTCCTAATTTTCACGCCCGCGGCCCACGACAAAGCACGGTTTGTTGCAATATTTCGCGAGGGTCCACGCCCTTTTCCCGTCGATGGGATTGTTTTAGAATCGATTCAGGGGGAGGACGATGATGAGACTCTTTTTTGGACAGACGGGATGAAACGAGATTGATCGACGATTCAACCGTCCGGCAGGTCTTGTTATCAGGTTGCAATAATGGTACTGAAACGATCGTTCGAGTTTTCTATCCGTATCTCGCGTCCGTTTAACACGTTGACGTACGATTTTTTATATCACCTACGCTTCGACTTACTCTTCACTCCAGAACTACCGAAGCAGTAATAATTAGTACGATTTTATAACGATGATTGAAACGTTACAACATTCATTTTCTCGGATCTTTAATAACTTTTATTGCAGGTTAAAAACGAAGAAATTGGTTGATTTATAAAAATGATTATTTTCGAAAGGTTGTCATGATTATCGATCCGAGAGAAATGTTAATCTCGTCACTTCAGAAATGTCCCCTTAGGTTTGCGAAATATGTAAGCAAATTGTTATCGATCCGCTTCTTTCTCCTTCCTCGTAATTCTTTCGAATGTTCAACTAAAACGAGGACCACAGCTGGGTTAAGTCCCGACGAATGTGACGACGAATGTGTTAATCGTCTAACGACGCCGGGAAAAACCGTGTCTGGGATAGGGCGGTATCGGTTTAATATGGGGCAACGAGATTACACGGCCGTATCGCGAGATGTATAGAGGTCGACAGCGTTGAAAGGCGTCGAGGCGGTGGCGGATCGAGGACACGTTAACATTAGACACCCCCCAGTCAATAGCGTTGTCGTCGCAAATGCATCCGCGGGGCCTCTATTGAATTAAGAACGACAACCGAGGCTCGCGATAATCGATAAAAGGTAAATGCGCGCCGCGTACGGTGTTACGGGCAGCGACGCACAGTGGTACAGAACGCCTATTTAGTTCAGAAGCTTAATTTAGGTATAAAAATGGGAATTTCAATGTTCATATTTATTAAAAAAAATAAAAAATTAATAGGTAACGTTTTTTAATAATAATTTTTTTTAAGAGAACTTGTGATTGACAATGAGAACTCCGTAAAGAAAAAGAAGTTTTTATTTTGTTTATAAAAGAATTATCATTAAAAAACATTACTTATTAATTTTTTTATGTTTTGAATAAATATGAACATTATGCTTACCTAGTTTGCTTCCGAAATTCCCATTTTTTACACCCAAGTTAAGCTTCTGAACTCCTAAATCGGAGTTCTGTATCACTGTGCAACGGCGGCGCGCGATGCGATTCTGACAATATTCCTTTACAGGCTGGCAGGGAGCCATCCGATAAAGGCGACTTAATTGGTAAGTGGGCGAGAATTGTCGCGGAATCGTTGGGGGCCGTGTGAGACCAACGACGCGACCGATCAATAGAGTTTTCTAATTTACCAGCGACAACAGGGGACCGATGACAAATTTAACGGGTAATACACGTTCGTACACCTCCATATGGTTCACGCGAAACCCGCCTGTCGAAGATGACCCCATTCATGGCCCCCGATCACAATGGCGCGAAACGCACTCCCGTTAAATCGGGCTTGTAGGTCGAGTCCTGCTGTTCAATGGCACACAGGGGCTAACTACAGTAGTCACTCGTTAGTTTGTCACTCGGAAATGATATATAATTTCAGACCGTTCCCATTACGGAGTAAGTTGCGCGCAATTTCGGGGGAGGTTTCAGGCTTTACGAACGGATCGAACCGTTTAAACGCCCGCTATAAATCCCGATCGTATCACGACGAAGAGTGCCCCGTCTTCGAACTGGTCATTCGCGCGTTGGAAAATAGTCTGCCATTAAAATCAAATTGACACTGTTTGTGTAGCCGGAATTCGAAGTAAACGAACCGAGAACGGAAGTACATACACTATGATCCTTGGCTAATGTAGTCGGTAAACGATCGATTGCGAAGAGTACAACGTTAATTACCTGTGAAGCGGTAATATAAAGATCTCTCCTTCAATCGGAGAATAAAGGGAGTCGAATGGATCGGCTATAGAGTTATTTTCGAGTCCGTTTTCAGGTTCGTTCGCTTCGATTCTATCCGGGGTCTCCCCCATTTCGACTCCCGGCTATTGTTGCCGACCGGCCCACGTCAGATGTCCATCGTGCGCGTAGCCGGGCACGGGGGGACAAAAATCGAAAGCAGAATCGAAAAAGGATAAAGGCGAATGAAAGAAGATTAAATAATCGGTCTTACCTAAATAATGGCAATTCTACGTCCATTGATGCTGCACCGGGGGCGGCGGCGGCGGCGGCAATGGCAGGGGTCTCTCCAGAACAGGAACAGGGGACACGTCCGGCATGGCGAACCTTAGCTTCTGCCAAAACAACTTGTCCCCCCACACCAGGACGGTGTGCGACGAGATACGTTTACGTAAATCGGCGTCGAGATCCCGTGGACACACACCGCCCACCAGTAGCAGGATCACAGAGCGGCCTTTCCCTTTCAGAGCGTCCCTGAGCGCCGCTTTAAACTCGAACCTGGCCCACTCGCCGTGCAGAAAGTTCTTCGACAGTACCAGAATGGTGCGCCTCGAGGAATCGGCGGCCTCAGCGACTGCGTCCGCCACGTTGCTTCCGGCCCCGAGGTCCCGATAGTGCAGGCACAATCGGTACGATGTCTCGAGACCTGGCACCAAGATCGTCGAGACGAACGCTTCGTCGACCGCTGAATACGAGATGTATGCGTCGAACGGTTTCTCCTGATCCTCGAACGCGGCTGTTTTGTAACACGCCCTGAGACCGCAACGGCTCGCAGCCCATGTACGAAGAGCACGACGATGCTTGAACGCGCCGCACACAAGCGCCACCATCGCGAAAATTAGCACCGCGGTGGCTAGCAGTAGCGGAAGATAAGCCTCGAGCGGTCGCGTCTCGATCACCGAGGTCGTGCCGGTTAATGCCGCGCAATTTATGACCGATCCGTTCGTCGGAAGAGTTATAGGCATGCCGAGGGAACAGGTGACGCTCCTCCAGTCGCTGATCTTCGCCCGGTTACGGGACATCCACTCGCGCACACGGTCCAAATACGAGCACTCGCAGCTCCACGGATTACTGGACAGCCCGATATCCACCAGATACGGGTTCTGGACGAGCTGCCAAACAGCGAACGTACCGAGCCGATTGTTCTCGAGCCGTAACACTTCCAGTTGACGTAACGGAAGAAACGTGCCGTTGTCGATGTACGTCAGTAGATTGTTCTGGAGATAGAGCTCCTTTAGATTCTCCAACGGCATCAGTTCCACGCCGTTCAGCACGCTGATCTTGTTGTTCTCCAGATGAAGCACCAGCAAACGTTTCAGACCGCTGAACGTGTGATTTCTGATAGCGATGATATTGCTGTCGTTCGCGTATAATATCTGCAGATTCTTCCGGCCGATGAACGAATGGGAATTGAATTCACCGAAATTGTTCCCGTCGAGATAAACCTCGGTCGCGTCCATCGGCAATCGGCGGGGCAACGTTCTGTAACCGGAGTTCGAGCAATCCACCACGTTCGCCGACCAGGATTGATCGTGGTAGCATGTACAGTTGGTCGGGCAGATCATCTCGCAGTCGCATGCGTCGAAGTCGCAGCAATGACAGAGCGCGAAACAGTGGGCCTTGTACGTGCAGAGAAATTGCGACGGTTTCGCCTCGAGCAACGGTATGAACGATTTCTGCCGATCGTATGGTAGCCTGCAATAGACCGACTCGAGGTCCATTACCCTCGGGTGTTGTCTCAACGGCAACGAATTGATTCTTTGCAGCCACTCGGTGGTGCAGTCGCATATAAATGGATTCCCGCCGATGTAAAACTCCGGCAATTGCCGATACGCCGGTACTTGGGTTAATTGAAAGGCGGACAGATTCATCTTGACGATCTGATTCGCGTACAGATCGACCCTTGTCAGGTTCCTCTTGTCGAAAAACGTTTGCGGCTCGACGGCCTGTATCAGATTATCGTTCACGAACAGAAGCTCGATCGAGTCCGGTATCGACCTCGAATGTATCCTCGTTAGCCGGTTGAACGACACGTCGAGCGTCTGTAATCTCATGCCCTGGGGCGCGACGCCGAGATCCATAATAAGATTTTTATGGAGATCCATCCACTGTAATTTCTCCGGCAGGTAACTGTAATCGAACTGCACGATCATATTGTCGGACATGTTCAGCCACAGTAGATCGGGCACGCTCGCGAATATGCCGGACATGTCCTGCAACAAATTCGAGTCCAAACGTATCGCCTGCAACGCCGGATTCGCCGTGAACACACCGTCCTCCACGGACTCGATCTTGTTCCGTGCAAGATTCAAGATCTGCAGTTCGGGTAACTCAACGAAATCCTCGGTGGTGACGTTCGTGATCTCGTTCCCGATCATTCTTAATCCGTACAGGCTGGACATACCACGGAATCCCGGCCTGTTCAAGCTTCTGATCTGATTCTCCCCGAGATCCAGGGTACGCAGCATTCTCATGTCTTTGAGGGCGACCGGTATGCTGTCCAAATTGTTCCCGGACAGATTCAGATCCTGCATACTGGAACAATTCCGAAAGGCATCCGGATGAATTCCTTCGAGCTGATTAGAGTCCAGCGACAGCAGGGAAAGTGCGAACAGCCCGTTCAGGGAGTACGCGTCGAGGTAAGTTAATCGATTGTACGCTAAATCTAGCGTGTGCAGATTACTCATCGGCGCGAACGTGTCCGCCGGTATCGTTTCGATCTCGTTGTACTGGAGATTCAATATTTGGAGGGTGTACAGGTCTTTGAACAGAGCCGGGTCCAGTTTGCTGATTCGATTATGGGAGAGGTTCAAAAGAACCAGACGAATCAGACCGGAAAACGTGGCGGAGTTCAGCCAGGAGCTGGTCAACGCGTTCCGCGACAGATCCAGGGCGACGAGCTGATTCATATCCGCAACGAGACCCGGGGACAGCACGCTGATGGAATTGTTCTGCAGCCGTAATTCCTTCAACGACTTCGCCGCGTCCCGAAACATTTCCGCCGGAAGGGCGACGATTCGATTCCCGGACAGATCGAACGTCTCCAGAGATCGGAGCCCGTGAAGCGCCTCGTCCGCCACCATTCCGATCGCGTTGCTCGATAAGTTCAGCACCTTGAGCCGTTTCAACGACGAGAATCCGTGGGTGGGCAGTACCGAGATTTGATTGTTGGACACGTCAAGCGACTGCATGTCCAAAGAACAAGGAAACGGGGCCGGTGTCGATTCCAGTTGTCGCCTCGGATGTCGTTCCAAAGTATCCCTGAACCCTAGCTCCGTAATGTCCTTCAGCATGTTCCACGAAACGTTCAACGTCAGCAGATTCGACAACGGGCAGAACAAATGTTCCGGTATCTGCCAAATGTTGTTCCACGACAGATCGATCTTCTCGATTTGCGGCACCGAGTCGAACGCCCCGCTCTCCAGCTCCAGGCTGTATTTGCTCTTCCGTCCGTTCAGACTTCGCACGGTCAAGTTACGAAGATCACGTAGACCGCTGAGAACTTTCGTTGGCCAATGGACCAGTTTGCAGCCGGTCAACCTCAACGATCTCAATCTCCATAGCTGAACGAACCCGTCCACGTTCAGTACACCGTTCTCGAGCGTATCTGTGTCCTCGCAGACGACGTTCACGGAGGTCACGTACTCGCTGGTAGCCTGAGAGAAATTCGTCTTGAGGGAGCCGACGTAACCGCCTCCGCCAGCGTACCGGTGAATGCAGGTGATCGCGCCATCCTGCCGCGAGTCCCACGAACAGTGCTCGGGCAGATCGAGCCTCGGCGGTAGCTCGCTGGTCACGGCGAGCACGTGGTACACCGGTACCAGAAGACAGTAGTAGCAAGCCAACGACACCAACAACACCGATCTCCGGAGCCCATCCGGACCGACGAGGCAACGCATCTCTTTAGCGTGCTCGTTCCCTTCCCTTGTTTCCGCTCCTCTGTCGCCTCCTGTTCATCACACGCTCTGCGCTACGCGACGCTTCCTGCCGCGCTCCGGTTATTAACGCACGCTGTCGTCGCTCGTATACGCCCTCCAATATTTACACCGACCGCCGACTGACATGTGTGGCCGTTGCAATCGATACTAAAACCTTGTTCCAGGCTCCTTGTCACACTAAGATCCAACTATCCCAACAGTCTTAACTTCCGCCTAGGTTCAAAGGGTGGGAGGGTTGTACCCGTCAGAACGGTCCTGGAACTGAAGGGTTTTTCCAGTCCTCCGAGTTTCACTGAGTAGGTACCCTCCCGCGCAAGAGTGGTTTACACTTCAAGAATCACACTTCACTCGGCCCGTCGATGATTGTTCGACCACCATGCGCTGGGATATAACCTCGACGAGAGGGACACTCTACCCGGCTCGATCGAGAAATTAATCGTTTTTCACGTATCAACAGTATTGTGCGACAGGATAATTAGTCTAAATCGATACTAATCTCGTGACTTCCATTTCCACATCTTGGTACGCGTTTCCTATCCCACCGTATTTTATCGATACGGCAATCCGGCGTGTTAACGCGCACCGAAATTCCTACTTCTATCTACCGGACAGTGTACCGCGCGCGGGTACGATCCTCGCGTTCCGCCGAAATTCCGATCTTTACCGAAATGTTCCATTAACGATGTTTCACACAGTTTCCCCCGTGTGGAACCCGCTCCGACACTGTCCGAAATCCCGGCTCCGTGTTCACCGAAATCCCATTTACTCTGCCCGACGAATTAAATCTGGTAGTCCCTGCTCGCGGGAGCAAGAGAGACGAGAACGATACGGCCCAGGGAAAAGGATACGACAACAGAAACCGTAGCACTCGGTACGGTGGGCACCGCGCAACTGACGCTTCGGATATCTTCAGCATCTAACTCGACGCTGCGTCCGCCAATCGTTCCTACCCCCACCACCGGCGGCAGCACCTACATCGGTGGAGGGAAAAGGGGGGGCGTCATCCTACTACGAGCGAGCACGCGCCTATCGTCAGCCCGCCATAGTGGAAAGAGGATAGCATACGTTCCCTCGATCCTTTCTCATCCTCTTTCGACTAAAAGGACGTGGAAATCGCGCGCGCTCCCGTCCTCGCCCGTACGTACATCGTCGTGTTTCTGTGCACGCGAACTACATACGTTTACATATATACAGACCTGCCGCGATAGTGTAACGCCCGTGGAAAGAGACGACGTTGCACGCAACCTGTTTTCTAACCTCTGGGCCGTTTGTGCGGTCGAAATACACATAGTCGCGAGAGGCCCGAACTCGCGTGGAACCGGCGATATCTCTCGCTGGACCGGGACTCATTACACCTCTCGACGGACTCCCTCATCCTCTACACGATGAAATTTTATTCTTACCTGGGACGACCACCCCGGTCCACGATCCAGAACTGGGAAGATTGTATCTCGCTCGCGATTCCTGATCGCTGCCCGCTTCTTCCCGTCCGTTCCTTCGTTCTGCGCGACATCCCCTGTCCTTCGAGCACTCCGTTCACGGTAAGCACCAACACTCTATTTCTGATCCAGCTTGTATGTACGTTTCCCTTTATTTCCTGCTGCATTTTCGCGCCTTCGGCAACAGTCTTTGTTTCTCTTCTTACCGGACATATTTGGAACTCAATGTTGGCGCGGGAAACGATACTGCGCATGCGCCGCGGTGACCGCGGTGAGCGCGGTGAATTTCGAATTTTGTTCGTAGATCGATAGGCGTGGTTATGTATATGTACTTACGTGTACGGGTACAGAGCGTTTATGGGAAAATTCTTGCACGAGTAAAGGAGAATACATTTGGTTTATTATTGATATTATTGAGCGAAAAATTAGATACAAAGGTTTGAAGGAATTATTAGGATTGAGATTGAAATGGGATTTACACGCAACAGTATGCAACCGTTGTTGTGAATATTGAATAGAAGTTTCGAAAGCTGTTAGGTCTGACTGGAAACCGGAAATGGGAAAGTACAACCGGAATATTCCATCGTGCTGGGCAACGCGACGGGAAAACTGTTTTGTATCGAGAAATTGGTTACATGCATATGGCACTCGCGATCGTTTTTTATTGTTATTTTCACTATTGCTACATGCACGGGTCGTCCAATAAATCATGGCAGTACAATGACGAGAAAAAGCGCCGTCATCGAATATTTCAGGATTTGTCCCTGCCATTAAGATTGCTAAATGATGATGAAAGGATAATGCAAGTTGGGATTGCTCAATGATATCGATTTTATATCTTCCAAGAATATTTATAAAAACTCGATAGTGCTATCGTAAGCAATACTACGAAATCTCGCCAATGTATATCGATTATCATTTCTTCGAATGCTGAAATAAACTTTTTAATACCTTGATACTCTATACTTGTTTCACCACAACAATATCTCGACACTCTTTGTTTCAAATAAAATATATAAGATATCTTGCGGTACCAATTTCCTACTCTATTATTTACATTCTCATTCTACGTTCTCTATTATTTTACATTCCGAACAAAAATCCGTATGCATTACACCACCTTTAATACCAATCTCCTAGCAAAATCGTGTTTCCCACGAAACACACATTTCTTCCACATATTTCGATTTACTTTCTCGTATAACATCGTCTCGTGGTAGTCGCAGTATCCACCAAGAGACACTCCGTGTATCTCGTGTAGATCCATCTTCGCCGACGGTCTCTTGGTATAGCGTGTGTATCGATATCCAGCGTGGATGTGTCGTGCCAGGTGGAGTGGGACTGGTTGACTCACAGAACTTCGCGATTCGACTGCCGAACTTGCACGAGCGACCGCGAACCGGTCTCTTCTTTCTTTTACCTCGGTTCCCCCGACGCGTTTCTCTATCGCGATCCAGTCGATATTCAGAGCACCACCCCTGGGTCCAAGGACTGCTCATAAAATGGTTTCGATCAATTTTTTAAGTGGTCGACCGACCGGCCCCATCGGTTGCTTCTTTACGATCGAGACAGAGAGAGAAAGAGAAAGGGCCGAATGGTCGGGGATTCGTATTTATACGCGCTGGTAACGGCGGGCCCCGCGGACTACGTATCGAGATCTTCGATTTGTGGTGTAACACGACGACTGACTCCGCAGGATCGGGGTCCTTGATACGCTCTGAATAAGCCTCGCTGATTCATTCTTGTCCACCCGTCGAGAGACTTTCGAGTTGATCGATGATGATCCAGGATGATTTGTATTGTACATCGTCGTGCCGCGGTTGAATTGAATTTCGGGGAATCCAGGGTTCTGCGCACGGGGACCAAGCCTTGTGTAAGTACGACGCGTACAGCGCGATAAGCGATCGCCGAAAGAGGCAAAGATTAGGCCGCATTACGCGCGTCGGTTCGATCGGGAATCCGGAATGATAGGCACACCGATATACACACTTGATCCCGCCACTGTGTGTTTATTCCGCTCTGACGTGTTCGTCGCGAGATTTCTACGGGGAGTTTCTTATAGGTAAGATTGATCACCGTCCTAATTGACGCATACCGAGACAGGCAGGATATTTCGTCCGTGTATAGTCACCTGTTAGGGTAGAATCGTCGGTGTTAAATAAACTGTCTGGATGCGTTGAACCATGGATGTATTCGTTTCCTCCGTTGGAAAGATAATATTTAATCCAGGCCCAAGTCAGTTTATTATTCCATAATTAACGACGATCTCGTGCCGGGCGATTCTGAAGGGAATTACGCGAGTACCCCGCCCCGATAAAAATCAGCGAAAACGGAGACTATCGGACTCCCTCGAAATGTAATTAATCCGTCTCGGGTGAGCAAGGAGGATCCCGCGGCACGGCACGTAATTAAAACCGTTAGGAACGGGTCGAAAGAAGATCGAGGATCGTTATAACTACGATGGGGGTGTGAGGTTCGTGGGAGGTCCAAGAAAGTTTCCTTTCGGCCGGGATACATCCCAGGGTCTCGAAGTCAACCGTGTAGCGCCCCTAAACTCGCCGACGTTAGCCAGAAATAGGTTTTCTGCTCGGTGGCTGGTAGAGAAGCGACACGGTGCACGTACCACGCTCCTCTTCCGGACAGGTGGGCTGGTATAAGAAGGGGGCCAGAAACACTTGTTCGCGCTAGATAACTTTCGTTTCCCGCCCCTGCCTATCTGCTGTTTATCTTATTTACACTGTGTCTCACCGTTTTCGCCGTTTCGAAACTTCCTCAAACGGATCTCTCCTTGTCGACGTTGCTCGAGGTCCCTCTTCAGTCACTCGTCCATCCACCAGCCCTCCTCCCTGGTCCACTTCGAACTTTCCTTTCCAATTCGAAAATCAATTAGCGGGCAGATTCAGTTTCCATGTAAGGAGGTCGTATCGCGCGGACGACGCGCGATCATCCCGAGCGGGCAGCCGCGGCGAGAACGACCGACGGGAAAGAAGTTTTAATTAAAGCTAGAATAAGAGTTTAATCGAGCAAAAGGGATTAATTGCCCGAGAGAGGGGGGAGGGGCGTTCCGCTAGAGCGAGGGGTCAAAGAGGCTGGTTGCGCGCCTGGCCTCCTCCTCGATGATTCCGTGGCTTCTCGAGTGTCGTGGACAAGAGACCCCGTTACCCGTAAATACTCGCGTCGAATGCTTCTCTGAAAGACCCCCTTTTTTACGTTCGCAAACAAAACCGACCGCCTCGATACTATTCGCCCCGATGGGAATCGATGTTATTAAAAGCTACGAGCTTTCAGCCGGTTACGAGACGCAGTCAGCCTCGTCGAGTTCTCGAGCATTTTGCCGCCGAAGACTTTTCATTACTGCGTATCGATTCTACGGGTTTATACAGGGTGGCAGGTTCACGGTCCCTTTGGACTTGTCACTTGTAGTTCTATCACGAACAACGATCGACGATCAATTCCTAGTAGAAATTATTTCAATTCAAAGAAGAGCACATTCATTGCCTAGATAAAAACTACAAGCTCTAC